GTGGTGATGGAGGTGTGGGAGTGAGGAAGTGTTGGAGGTGAAGGTATGTATTGGAGGGTGGGGCAAGGTGGAGGATGTTTGGAGGTGGGGGTGGGTTATTTTAGGTTAGGTCTTGAAGGCTTTTGGAGGGCCACTAGATCCATGTAATATTTCTTTTGCAAAGCCACTTAACCAAACCTAACCTAACCAACCTCTCAAAACCGGGAATTAAAACAATAAGCGAGTAATTAAAACTCCCAGAACGCTTATACAACTTATTGACAGGATCGTGAGTCTGGCGAAATTAATTAACCCTAAAAATAAATTAATGGCAGAGGAAAAAAGGTGTCAGAAAAATTATTGTCAGGGAAAAAAGTCGGGAAAAATTATTGTCAGGAAAAAAAGTCGGGAAAATTTGTCAGGGAAAAAAGTCGGGAAAAATTATTGTCAGGGAAAAAAGTCGGGAAGATTATTATGTCAGGGAAAAAAGTCGGGAAAAATTATTATGTCAGGGAAAGTTGAGTTATTTCATTAGCTCCTATTGTGTGATTCGTAATTTCATATAACGTCAAATAACATTAAATTATACCAATGGTTATATTACGGAATGAAACCTCCAAATAACGGATTTTCTCTCCACATAATCCGTTAGATGGAGGGTTTTCACATCTAATGGTTCTTCGATATAACGGAATTTCCTCTTCATATAGTCCGTTAAATAGAGTCCTGGAGGGTCTGTGTGTGTGTGTGTGTGTGTGTGTATCTGTGTGTGTGTGTGTCTGTCTGCTGTCTGTCTGTCTGTCTGTCTGTCTGTATTGATCTCAGTCCACAAAAACGCAAAAGAAAAAAAAACGGTTATATTAAAATGAAAATAAAACATATATTCGTCCCCCTAAAAACGGGAGTAAAATGCGTAAAAAAAATTCGTTTTATTCCCATATTTTGAGGTAAACTAATCCAGCTTCTCATCAGGTGAACCAGACGATGGCCTAAATATTTTCCATCTGACACCAGGATGGAAATTTTATTTTTTGCCCAATCCAATTAGCAGGTACGTTTGGGAAGGTTAGGTTAGGTTGAGGTTTGGTTAGGTTAGGTTAGGTTAGGTTAGGTTAGGTTGAGGTTTGGTTAGGTTAGGTTAGAGTTAATTTAGGCTTTGTTTAGTTGGGTTAAGGTTAGGTTAGATAAGATTAGATTACGGTTAGATTAGCGAGGTTAATGTTAGGTTAGGCTAGGTTAAGGTTAGGTTGGATTAGGTTAAGTTCAGGTTTGGTTAAGGTTAGTTTAAGGTTCTTGTGGCTGTACCTGTTGTGTCGTTGTCTTACTCGGTGGTGTATAACCTCACCTGACGTCATCCGTTATATAGTACATCAAGGATAATAAGAACATGACTCGTAATTTATAGTTTTTATACACAAAATACATAAATACATTGTTGTACAGTATGATAAACATCTATATTGGTACTGTACCTTGTGTGTGTGTGTGTGTGTGTGTGTGTGTGTTTTATATACATGTACATCGTATCTACAGAGCACATTGGTTATACTCAGCAGCTGACTCCACCATGGCACCACGCGGAGCCTAACACCTGTATTTACAGTACCTCAGGTGTATTAGATTAATTACGTGCTAGACAGGTGACGCAAAATAGCCTCCTAGCCAACTGAGGTGCCGAGCAGGTCATTGACAAACTTACAATCACGAAAATAAGTCCATTTACTCGCCTGAGGCCTTGAACTATACAGGGAGGAGCCTTGGAGTATCTTGTCTGCTCGTGGTTGGTTTTGATACAGTTGTGAACAGGTGACCCACACACGTGTCTGGCCCAGCAGGTGATCTGGGTGCTAGACAGGTTAATGAGACACTAATGAGCATCACCTGGACAGACAGTTAAACCAGAGGCCTATGTAAACGAGCCTATAATTCACAAGCACCAAAATATCCGCGCACCTTGTCTGGGGGAAATTGCCAATCACCATCAACAGCACAACGTAATTGATTAATTAACCACATAAACAGCGACAGTAACACCCACCTCTACCTGTGCATGACCACCTTCCTTCACAACAAGTAAACAAAGAAAAATGATCTCTAATGATACCTGGTGTTAAGGTTCAGTTTTAGCTTTCCTCGATCATGTTGTATAGGACCTTTCTAACACACATTTCTTCCCAGTAGGCCGGAACACCTAACATAGACTGGTGAACCGCTCAGTCTATCTCCACTTTACAATAATATATACAGTTAATAACCATAAAACACCTGATGGTAAAATACAACAATTACTATCCAAATATAGAGATTATATTTAGTTTATTTATAATATTTAATTTTTAATCAATACAAACATATAGACGTGTATCATGCAGGAGTCTTTTTAGAAGCAAGGTAAATCGACACCTGAGCCGGATATTTCCCTGTATATTTATAAACAAATCACCTGATCCTAAATTATCCAGTCATAATTGTAAACAAAAATCAGCTGATCCATAATGATGTGTGTATGATCAGCTTCTACTAATGTAAACAGAAACCAGCTGATGACATTTAAATAAAAAAATCACCTGAATGTAAATGACAATACCAACAACAGGTGATAACGACACATAAACAAGGTGATATACACGACAGACTCAAGGGAGAACTGAAACGGCTCTGGGTCGATCCCTTCCTCGGGCTCAGAATAAAAAAAGACTTCTGCCAGATCTAATGTCTCACAAACTATGGGGCTTAGGAACAATTGTAAGGCCTTGACACACACAAACACACATCATCCGTGAAATAATGACATATAACAATGCTTATGAAGACACTATAGGCGAAGACAGTTCTATCTTTATTGTCTTGATGAGGGAAGAAAAAATGACGTTATTCCATAGTACTTTTAAGAAACACCAAATATAACATTGACTTTTATTAGTTTAGTGTAATTTAGAACCGTAGTTGGAGAGGTGTAGTACAGGGGGTCACTTACACCCTCTACATAACAAAACTGTAGCATCAACGACATAGACAGTATCTCTTAAGTCACGCTGTATTAAACTAAAGAATAATACAAGAGTTTAAATGAGTCAAATGAGTATTAATTGAGGACTTAAAATCCTCCTTCCTTACAGCGCCAGAACAAGCAGTCATCAGCCAACAGTGCCTGGCGTTCCCTTCCGCCACTCAGAGCAATGACGCTGCTCTCTTAACACACACACACACACATACGCTATTCTGCATGATCCTTCTGAGTTAAGAATTGGCAAGTTAATGGTTTGCGTATTCCCCTCGTAAACAACAAGTCCAGGTTATTTATTTATCCCCGGAAGAGACGAACCTCTAAACCACATTACTCTTCGACTCGGTGTTTGGGGGAGATTCACCTCTTAAACGATTAGCGAATCTTGTTCTGGGATATTGATTAGCCATTCACGGGAGTTAAGGTAAGCAATTAAACGAAAATCTGTGTCGTTATGCAAAGCGTTGACGAGTTTATGGAATGTGAGGACTATTTTTTTTCAGTAGAATTTTGTCCAGTAGGGTTTTGTCCGATAGTTTTGTCCAGTAGGGTCCGATAGTTTTGTCCAGTAGGGTTTTTGTCCAATGAGGATTTTAGTTTAGTATAATTTTGTTCTGATAAGTATATCGATTATCGAGTGATATCTCCCTCGATAAGAATTCAATCCAAAGGTGGAGTGGGGGTAGGAAGGGGAGGGGGGGGTTCTCCAGTGGATTCCAAACCGATTAAGGATCTACTTAGATTCTGCTCGGTGGGTTTATGTACAAACAAGATTTTGCCCGACATGAATTTCTGCTCTAAACGATATTTTTCCCCGACTGAATTTTTGCCCCCTGAGGAGCCATCTCGTCCAACAGGTGAGCCAACACGCGGCGCAGGTGTTGAGGCGTTGTCCGGGTGGTGTCAGACCTTAACGTCATATGATTGATTGTCCTGTCAGAGGTGTATGAAGGAGGAGAGAGAGAGAGAGAGAAATGGGAGAGGAATAAGAGAAGATTAGGTGAGAAATGTTTAGGTAGATAGATAAGAGAGATAAATAAGATTGCTAGATAGAGAGAGAGAGAGAGAGAGAGAGAGAGAGAGAGAACACCCCCCCCACACGCTCGGTCACCTCTACCATTTGTTCTGGATCCACCAATGTGATGGATCGGTAAAAACGAAATAAAAGTTCTGATTGGTCGGGGCACTGCAGCTGGGGCCTGTCAGTGGTGTACAAGAACTTAGCGGTGAACGACCCGGGTCTGGGTAATTCCTCACGTGAATGAGGGCATAACGTGTACGGATTGGTCCTTATCCACTACGATGTGCAGTTATTGGTCCTGGCCTGTCATGACGTCAGTTAATGTCCCTTCCCTAATCTGTCCTCAAACTATTCATTAACTCAGTCTAAATTAATATTACCTGAATCTTACCCCAAGCCACCGAGACTAACCTAGTGGCGGGAGAGGTTATGTCAGGGTGAACGGGGACCAATCACCACACTCCAGGCCCGCATACGAGTGGATTTTGCCTCGGGAGTGTCAGGGCTAGCAGACGCCCTTAATTACGACTCTTCGTCTGGCTTTAGCGAAAGTCACCAAGATTTAGCGCGTCCATTAAGAAGGGGAATGAGACGCCCAGAGATGAGAGAGAGAGAGAGAGATAATGGAGGAGGATTTCTAGCAATACTCAAATTATATTTCTGAAGTAGGACAGCCACTAACAGCAGCTGTGCCTGAGAGTCATCCAACCTGTCTCCCGAAACGCTCGTCAACACACCTGTACTGAAGGGAGACTCATGCCCGCGTCACCCGGTAGTCACCACACTTTTGGTGGCCAACATCCGAACAAAAAGTTGAACCAAACTTCCGGGAAACTTCAAGAATACAAAATATATATTAAAAATATTACCCCACCCCTGGGAGGGGGAGGAAGGAAGGGTGTGTCGAGTGGAGCTCTGGAGGGGAGGGAAGGAGGAAGGGTGTGTCGAGGAGCTCTGGGAGGGAAGGGAAGGGTGTCGAGTGGAGCTCTGGGAGGGGGAGGGAAGGGAAGGGTGTGTCGAGTGGAGCTCTGGGAGGGGGAGGGAAGGGTGTGTCGAGTGGAGCTTATGAATAATCATCACTCAGTCGCTGGAGGGTTGTGGAGGCTCTAAGAGACACCAAAAAGACTCTTCAAGTGACACGTGGCGGCCTCTTCAGCCTCTAGTAACCTGAAGTTCGTCCTCTGTTTTCCTGAACAAGACAACGGCCGGCCTGTAGAGCCTCACGGGGGAATTCCAGCGTAATGCCAGAATTATTCTACTGGTCTGGTATCCCTGGATTTTTTTTTTTTTTTTGGCATTGTGTGAGAATTTCTATATGGCGTTGATCACCTCTTAGACCCCAGGAACTTGGTCCAATTTTCCAGAACGAGTCGCCAGCAGAAACTCCACCACTAACACGACCAACCAAAAGTGCCTGGCGTGCCCCCTACAGCCGACGAACGTTCGCCAGCCGTCCATCTGTTTAACATGATCCATGCATACTGAAGCTAGCCACAGGGCGAACGTTCGCTCGTCTTCTGCCTGCAGTGGCGTTGTTTTTTTGAGATATTGATGTAAGGGATGACGTAGAAGCAACCATCTGGGAAGAAGGAGATGACATTTATTAGTAAAGTGATGACTGAGATGACAGATAAAGTTTATACATACATACATACAAACATACATACACACATACATACATACATACATACATACACACATACATACATTACATACACACATATATACATGCATACATACATACATACTGTGGACTCGGTGAATTACGGTGGTACTCAGTGGACTGTACTCACCGTTTTACCTTGCTGGTATTTTTGCCTAAAGAAATAAAAGTTTCAGTGATGTGCAATTAAACGAGCGATGGTCTAGAGCCTTATTAATGACTCTAAATTATGTAGTTAGTTGTTATTTTTGTTGTGGATGAAGCTAAAGTTGGTATTTTTGTTGTGGATGTTACTAAATTGTTATTTTTGTTGTGGATGATGCTAAAGTTGTTATTGTTATCGTTGATTGATTGAGGTAATTGTATCCTTGGCGACGGAATAACTTAGGTCATAATGTTGTTGTTATTGTTGATTATGTTATTAATGTTGATGTTGTTCGACAATGGATAGTACATTTATTGTATACATTATCAACAGTCTTTTTTATTTGCTCGTGTGTGTGTGTGTGTGTACGAGTGAATGATAAATTACTCAGTTCTACTACAGTTAGTTATCTGCTGCACTTCTCACCTTGATACAGAGCCCTGTAGTAGTAGCAGCAGCAGCAGCAGTAGCGAGGTCCTCAGAGCTGGGAGGTGGGGATCTCAGTGCCGTTCTCCCTGGGCGCCTGACTGAAGGTGGAACGAGTCGTCATGGAGATCGCCGTCGTGTAGGCATCGTTGGACACCATGTCTTGTCTGGAGTTCTTGGCCCTCATGGTGGAGCCGCCCCGTCGTCGTGGAAAGATGGAATTTTCTGCGGCCAGGGCGCTATTGGCTTCCATCATGGTGGCGCAGGTACACGCCTTCATGAAACTCTTCTTGAAGTTCTCGCTGAGGAAGGCGTACAGGATGGGGTTGATGGCGGAGTTGATGTAGGAGAGACAGGAGGAGATGAGGAACAGCACCACCATGAAGGGACTCTGACCTACCCGGGGCGGGCTGAAGATGAGCACCAGCTGCAGCACCCAGTAGGGCAGCCAACACATGACGTACACCGTGATCACCGTCAGCACCATCTTCGTCACCTTCCTGTGGCTCTTCTTCTTCTCTTTCGACTTACTCTTGGGTCCCACGGACTTGAGTTTTTGCAGCACCAGCCCGTAGAAGATGAAGATGAGGGTGAGAGGGAGACCGAAGGCGAGTATGAACGAGTAGAGTGTGAAGACGAACTCACCGCTGATGCCGAAGCTGTCTGGCCAGAAGATGTTACAGTTGATGAGGTCATAAACTTCCAGCGTGTTGGAGTACATGAAGACGGGCACGATCATGAGGGCGGAGGTGGTCCAGGCCGTCAGGGAGACCAGCTTGGAGATCATGGGCGTCCGGAACTTGGGGGCGCTGATGGGGTGACAGACGGCGATGTACCGGTCAGCGCTCATGATGGTGAGGAAGAGTGAACTGGTGAACTGGTTGAGGGACGTCGTGATCATGTACAACTTACACATGGTAGACCCGAAGGCCCAATAACCCAGGACCGAAGTGATCATAAGAAACGGGATGCCTATAACGAAGAGCTCGTCCGCTATAGCCAGGTTCACAATGTACAGATTAGTGACCGTCTGCATCTTGGAGAACCTAGTGACTACGTAGATGACGAGGGTGTTGCCGCACAGACCCACCAAGAAGGCGATGGCGTAACAAGCCTGCATGATGATGTTGGCCACCATATGTATAGGGGACACCTCGCCCGTGAACACCCCGAGGCTACAGTTACTGGCTGTGTCTGTGTCTGTCGTGTTCAGGTACGAGCAGTTGAGAGGGAAGGAGTCCGTGTCCTCCAGGTCGAGATACAGCGTCGAGGTGTTCATGGTGGAGGGTGTAGCTCTTAGTCCACCATAAATTGAAGTATAATTACAATCCCCCTAATCGATCCAGGGACTAACCGGATCAGGTTATGTTTTCCTCCAGTCGACACAGTAATTAGCCTTAAAGTTGGGTCTATTTTCCGCAACTCAATTCACTCCAGAGATACAAGTGAACCAGTCTTCTACGCGAGAGATGATCCGCCTTTCATCTCCGCCTCTTAGTTCCCGTTAAACTTACACACAACATGTTCGTCACAGGTCAAAGCCTATCGCTAGGTATAGAGACTGAGTGGGTAACTGTCTGTCCTGTCACTGATAACGGGGAACTAAGTGAGTGTTGGGGGGGGGGGAGACTCACAACAAGCTCTTTAACTAACTAACGACGACTTGGGATACTGTCTACTCTGATACGGTTAACGGGTGACTGGTGGTTGAGACTGGTGTCTGACTGTACGCTGAGTGGTTGGCGGAGAAGGGTGGAGGAAGGGAGGTAGTTAGTCTTGACTGTCCTGGTTGTTAGCGGAGAAAAGTACTCATATCCACGAACTACTGTCCATCACAGTTGACGGTCCTCTGAGTGGTTACTGGTAGAACTGGTCGACAGTCTGAAAGGAGAACGTGAAAGGTGTTAGAATTCGGTGATATAAAAGAACCCTTAATTAAAATGGCGCACATTGAGTTGAACAGTTCCTTACCCACCTATCCATCCCTCACCCAACCATCCGTCCCTTACCCACCTATCCATCCCTCACCCAACCATCTATCCCTCACCTACCCATCCCTTACCTACGTCCCTCACTTCACCTCACCTCACCTCCCTCACCATCCACACCCTACGGAGGAAAAATAAAATGCTGCACCTTTATTGATTATAGCGAACCAATACGTTTCCCTAATGGTTAATCCAATACACGCCATCAATCCGTGGCTAATGGCTTCAACCTGATCCCGCTGGTGTGAGTGTGTGTGTGTGTGTGTGTGTGTGTGTGTGTGTGTGCGTGTGTGTGGCTGGGAAAAGATAACTGTAGTGGTTTCCTCGAGATTGACTTTCTGTGCGGTGATTAAAACTCAGGTTGCGGTGGCCGAGTGGATACAGTATTCGCCTCATATCGTCCGAGTCGTTGGTTAGCGCTCGGGTTGTACTGTACCCTCATTATATGTATGTGCAGGTATATGTGCGTATATCTGACACTACACACACATGCACACACACACACACACACACACACACATATATATACATACATACAGACACACACATTATATACAAACATATACAATCTCATTATACACCCACATACACACACACACACACACACACACACACACACACACACACACACACACACACACACACACACACACACAGTTGTTTACAACACCCTATCGAGAACATAGACCAGATGGCATGCTGTTAGTGTACCTGTCTCTCTCTTCCATATCTACTCTTTTAATTGTCTCACTTCCTTACCCTTTGTTCTTCATCAGCTTTATCAGTCTTCCTTCTTCCTTATGTAATTACCTGTAACTTTTTCTTCCTCCTCCTCCTCTGTTTTCTTCCTTCTCTTATTACAACTTTTATCAGGAGTAAACAAAGGAGACGAGAAACACAGATGATGTAGAAAGAAGAACTAAATTGAATAATACTAACACACTAGAGTAACTTTATGTGAACTGAGTTATTCACTACGTTAATACACCAAATTATACACAAAACACTAAGTTAATACATCATACACTATGATATAATACACGATATACTATTAGTAATGTTAGTTAATACATAATCATACACTATGACGTCACGCTCTTAAACAAACACACTTGTTGTTCATAAGATTAATTATTTGTGCAGTGATGGAATATTCTCTCTCTCTCTCGTGACCTATATTAAGGGAAGGTCAATAGATTTAAATTTCATACCCTGGGCCATAAGAGTCTCGTCTCATAGTAACTTACAAGAATCCCGACCTAACATCGTTCTGGACAGCACCGTCTTGTCCCCAGAACTCCACAGGTAGACACAGCTGGTAACTGCTCAGTCACCTTGGAGTATAAGAACGAAAATCGAATGACAGTTAATGGGAACTCTAACTTAGTGACCTCTTGTCAGATAACACGTTCTTGACCCGAGAATTTCAACATACTTATACATATACAGATATGGAGGGTAAGATAGAGCTATCCACCACAAGGCCATAAGGGTCGAGATCCTATGGTAACCAACAGGAAGAGCCATCTAAATATACCCTCGTTGGTTAGCACCTTCTTGCTCTCGACAACTCCACGTAATCAGCTGGGATAGGGATGAGAGTCTTAGGTGAATACATTTCATTAACGCTCTTAATTACATCCCTTTTGTTCGCCTGGTAAAATAGGATGAAATAGTGGTAGTATAAATGGTAGTAGTAGTAGTAATAGTAGTAGTAATGATAGTAGTAGTAGTAGTAGTAGTAATAGTAGTAGTAGTAATGATAGTAGTAGTAGTAATAGTAGTAGTAATGATAGTAGTAGTAGTAGTAGTAGTAATAGTAGTAGTAGTAATGATAGTAGTAGTAGTAATAGTAGTAGTAATGATAGTAGTAGTAGTAGTAGTAGTAATAGTAGTAGTAATAGTAGTAGTAGTAATGATAGTAGTAGTAGTAATAGTAGTAGTAATGATAGTAGTAGTAGTAATATAAATGGTAGTAGAAATAGTAGTAGTAATAGTCTAAATAGTATTAGTAGTAGTGGTAGCAGTATAAATGGTGGCAGTAGTAGTAGTAGTAGTAATAGTCTAACTAGTATTAGTAGTAGTAGCAGCAGTTTCAATGGTACTAGTAGTAGTTAGTAGTAGTATTAACATAATTTTCATGCTCGTCATTCCAGTTCACTACATCAAAAACTTCCACACCTAATTTTTCGCCGAGATTTTTTCATTTGCAAAATAAAAATATTTTTCTAGATATTAACTGATGATTTTTTCCCGGACTTCAATTAAAAGTCTCTTTCATTGATATAAAAAAAATGGTATAAAAATATTTTCTCTCGGTATAGGAAGTCGCTTTTTTTTCCGGATTACATATTTAAACTCTCGTATATTACCTCAGTATATTTATTATTATTATTATTATTATTATTATTATTATTATTATTATTTATTCTTGGGCGTCAGTGATCCTTAGGTTAGGGAATTCTCTCTCTCTCTCTCTCTCTCTCTCTCTCTCCAACAAAGAACATTCATTTTATATGTGTGTGAGTTCAGCTGTTTCCTGAACCTGAAAAATCCATTGAATTGATGTTTCAGTCCACCTGTAGCAATAAAGGGGTTGACGGGGGTATTTAATGGGGGTGGGGAGAGGGGAGTGAAGAGGATGGTTGGGGTGGCGTGGGCATGGAGTGTTGGGGTCGTCGAGGGGTGTGTTGAGGGGGGTGTATGTGTGGGGGTGGGAGGGGTGGAGGGAGGGTTGAAGTGTGTGGGTGTAGGGGGAGGGGTGGGGTGGAGGGAGGGTTGAAGTGTGTGTGGGTGAATCCAGAGCCAATGTACAGTCTGATTTTTTTAGACTGAGTGCGTTAAGTTCAGAGCCACACAAGAGATTAATTTATACATTGTGAATAAGTTAGACTGTGAAATGGACACAATTTCAGTGTTTTAAGATACCCAGTCTGAATAACATAAACGAAACACGTCTAAATGATTCAGGCAAACTCGGGGTAGAAAAGTTTTAGAATCTACATAATTCACCAGACTCACACAAATTCAGGGCCTCAAGTATCGACTCTGAATACCTCAACTCAGGAGAAACTTTATTAGGGAGGAAAATCCCAGTGGAACGACCCTGAGGCTGTGTGTATAAAATTCCGGAGATTACGGCCAATATATACACGAGGGTTCAGTTGAAGTAATGAAACTGTGGCCATAACTCTTTAATGTTACAAAGAATATGATGAGGGAGACACCTTACCTCACCTCACCTTGCTTCACCTCACCTCACCTTGCTTCACCTCACCTCACCTTGCTTCACCTCACCTCACCTTGCTTCACCTCACCTCACCTTGCTTCAGTGAGTTACCTGGTGCGTGGTGTGTGTTTCATGGAACAGGAAGTCATACATACTTTCCCGAAATTCCTAAGGCAGCAGCCCAACACACACACACACACACACACACACACACACACACACACACACACACACACATCGGACTACAGGGAAACTAGAAGGGAAAATGTATAGTATTTATATACCTCGATGATCAAATTCTGGGAGCCTGAGGGGGAAAAAAGTTAGATTTCCAGGTAAGAGGATAATGTTTGATTACCTGGGGGAGTAGTGATCCCGTGTTGCCAGCTGAGAGGGCTCTTATAAGACCTCCCTACAATGCCCAGTTGCCACTCTGTAAAAGTAGGTTGGTGAAAGGAAGGGCAACCAGCCATAAGACGTGTGGTTCTAATTTACCTGATGGCCACCGGAACACCTCGCTCTCAGGTAATCACAGCTAACTCACCTCACCGTGGGAATGAGGAGGACTTGTGGTCATTATTCAACTCGATGTGTCAGTGAGATTTTTTTTCTGGACTTTCAATAAAACGACAAAATCGAAATTGAAATTGTCTTTAGAATTACATAAACTGGTGAAATTGATGTTGATTCATAATAATAGTTATAATGATACGAGGAAAAAGATGATGAAGAAAAATCATTGTAACACTAATAAAAGTAATAATGACAACCAACCCAAATCTAAAGATAAATAGGGATAAAAATTGCATCATCCAAAAGTAACAGAAGAAAAAAAAAGTTACAATTGAATTACAAAAAAAAAAGCGTCTGAGACAAAATTTGTGTGAGGTCGGCAGTAAGTTGTGGGGGGAGGAGTCGTTTCTTGAGGCAGCCCTTCACGGTGTGGTCCCTGCCTGGTGCTAGGGAGCCTCTCTTGATGTATGGATGTAAGTATGTACAGGTATGTATGTTTGTGTGTGTGTGAGAGGAGGGTTGTAAGTGTGTGTGTATATATATATTTAGCCTAGTTTTCGATTAATATGTACGCACACACACACACACACACACACACACACACCTTTCTTATCCCTCTCTTTCCTTTCCCCCTTCCACTCACCCTCCCCTTACCTCATCCCCTTCCTTCCTTCACTCCTTCCCTTCCTTCCCTCCCACCCGGCGACCTCCTCCTCTACACGACCCCTGGGAAAGCCGATATAAGACGCCAGTGTCCCGATGTTCCAGCAGATGGCAGTGTCTCCCGTCATCTGGCCATGAGAGGTCAAAGGTCAATGGAGCGACGTTGTGGCCAATGAGAATACAAGGAAACGACAGTGTGGCCAATGAGAATACAAGGAAACGACAGTGTGGCCAATGAGAACGCAAGGAAGCGAGAGTGTGACCATTAAGAACACGAGGGAGAAAATTATCAGTACAGGTGATAATTATTGAAGCAGCATAGTTCTCTTAAGGGATTATAGCAGTAATGTTGGCCGAGGATTCAGGCCTTGTACTCATGAATAATTAAAATAGCTTCAGGTAATTTCAGCTCGTGTGTTCAGGTGCGGGGATTTACGGGCTACGAAAAAAAATAACTTATTGCCACTCGCCAGGTTACTCGCC